CGAGGAGGGGGGCATGTTGCACCTTTGTCACTTTCCATCAATGTGTCGAGCCATCGACTGGCTGTGAAAAATACAAATCGATTTACCACGATGGCCGAACGAGCTTGCGCCAGCTTCACGCGAACTGTCAGGTTCCACCACTTGGGAACCGGAGCTATTGAAGCAGCGAAAGCACAAAATGCCACCTCTCCCTCCCGTGTCAAATTGCGTCCAAATCATTGTTATTGGCTGAGAGTAGGGTGCTACAATAAGCTAATGACTCCTTTCCATTTGTAAAAAAACTCTTTCTACCAGGGAGCGAGGAAACGTGATTAAATGGTGACGTCATTGCTGTTTACGAAAAATGTCCACATGTTAGCCCTAACTTCCTGTAATGCATTGTAATTTATTTGGTTTTGTGCGCTATTTCTATAGCTGCGGTCTCATACGAACTTTTATGAACCCCTAATATAAAAACAACGTGGGCATTTCCCACGGGAATTCGCTTAGGAGACAGAACCATTTGTTGAGCACTGGGCCCTCAAAGCTATAGACAGGAAGCCACTCGGAGCCTTGGAGAAGAGTTGGAAGGACGTCATAAGGAAAGGCCTCACTGTAGTCAACGCTATGGCGGGTGCAGCGTTGGATAAAAAGAAGTGGTGACGTTTAGCTAAAAGAGGTGGAGGGGTGGGGGGTGGGGGCTAAGGAAAAGGAACAGTAGGAGGCGATTCAGTTGCAGGTTTCTCTCCATGCAATGGGATTTCAGTGGGAGCTCATTCAGCGTTCCAGGAAAGGAAAGGATGGTTAGAGCCGTCATTTGAAAAGAGATTCATATAGGGTGACGTTTCTCTTAACGCTGATTCGAAGTTGTAGATTTTTTCAAGTTGAACTGGACCTCTTTGAAATCAGAGTGAACGTTCTTGAGTTCAACCGGGTGTTTTTCGAATCGATCAGGAAGTATTTAATCGAACCGTATGGTTTCAATTCAAGCTTGGCTTTTTTTCAAAACAAATATTCCTAACTGTTAACTCGTTTCAATCAATAGAAGGTTACATTTAGTTATGATCATGAGCTAGTTTTGCATGGAAACTCTAAGACAGCAGGAAAAACGTATGTTAATGAACACATCCGATTATTGAGGATAGCTCCCTCTGCCGTGATCCTCGGGGTGATGGGGGAATCCAACGGCTCTCCTGTTTTATGGAATCTGCCCATTCGTCCCCTTTCTACCGGGTGTAACCTGAGCCGCAGTGAAGGCGGCAAAAGTCGTTAATAGCAGGGTCATTTGCACCAGAACATTCCCCACGTAGCAAGCCCCGAGGTCGTCGAAGGAAGAAAAAAGCAAAAAGATCTTGTGAGGAACTCGCTACAAAAAGTTTTTTTTTGGGCGGGACAACTGGGGAGGCGTCAGAACTCCCTTATTTAGGTCGCAGTGCCTTCGTTGCTGGTTAAGAAGCCGCGAAAAAGGGATAATTTCAGAGACTGCGGGCCAGTCTGCTTGAACAAGGAAGGGCTCCTAAGAATTAGGTGAGCGCGGAGCTATCGGACCTTGTTTGGAAAAAACTCGTAGAACGAGCGTTTTTGAGTTGTTCACATGGTAGTGTTGAATTGCTCTAATTGTCTAATTGTAGCAATGAGAAAAGCGGCCATAGCGATATCTGAGAATCTGCTTCGGTTTTCGTTTTAATTTCGCTCCGAGCTGAAGAGTTTTGCCATATAAAGTGAAATTTCCATTAAACACGTCACGTGATTACTGTTGTTATTACAGTTATTTTCAAATAGATTAGGCATTGCCGCCCACGGGCATGATTGGTGCTTTTTTTGGAAGATTCACGTTGATGATAGGATGTGCTCGTGATCGATTCGTGTTCCAGCCTCGCATTTGCGGCCACAAAGCAAAGCCGGCATCGGTTTTGTGTCTCGTTAAATGAGCAGGCGATGTCTCGTCCAGTAATGCCATTCCATGTGATGGGGCCGTGAGATGACGTCTGTGAAGAGGGCGGGGGTTTGTCACTGCGGGGACAGCTTCGTTCGGCGACTGAATTACATTATGCGCGTCGTCCGTTGAGAAGGGGATGCAGAAAGAAAAGCACATGGCCCAATGGAAAACAATTATGGAACATCGCCGTCGTGACGCGAAACGAAATGAAAGCGGGATACGCGAGGTGTAAGGAGGGACCTAGGCGCTGGAATACCGGACATTTTCGAAACGCGTTCGATAGTCATGGGATTCAAGATTGTTCCTAGGGGTTCGATTGTGGCCATCGGTGAGCATGTAGTGAGAGTAAAGGATTGTCTTGCTCGTTACCCTTGGAAGAGGCGATCAATAAAACAAAAGGACTTTTTGCAGAAACCGTGCAGTGATTGTTGGCTACTTAGAATCGTTGCAGTATTTTCAAGCAAGAAGCAAGCTTGGTTAGTTTTTTTTTAATTTAATTTCTCTTTGCCAAAGTCTCATCGCATCTGTTTTCATTACGGATGTCATTTTGTGCCTCACCCCTCCTTATATCAGTTATTCAACTGAAATTGTTTGGGCTACGTTTATAATTTGCGTCAGCATTTTTTGCGTACGACGGCGTTTCGAGCGATTAGGAAAGTGTAGAGCTAGCGCTTGGAGGTACGTGACCAACGCTCGCGGAAGGTTACGGGTACGGAACTATCCGCGAAACGCTCAAAACGCTAAATCGATAACTATACCTTTCTAGTCGCTGGAAAAGCTCAAGACGCTTCCGCTGGCTATCAGCAACGACGCAAAGTATGAACGCAGCATAAAGTTGCTGATACCATTCCCTGCTTATCGGCAGCATTAGGCAGTTTATATTCGTTGATTGATGCCAGCTTCTTGATTTTTTTCTATTTTTTTAATAATGTCATAGCCTGGGTTTCTGAAGAGGACGTAGTAGGCTGTCATAGGGAGTCGTAAAAAGTGGCTCACTTCTTCTTTACTAGCAATTTTAGAGCAATTATTGCCTGGTATTCAAACCAGTTTCTGTGCTTACCCTTCACACTTACAGTCTCAACATTTTTTTCCTACCATCACAGAGGCCACTACATTATTCATTAAACTGACCTAATACTCAGATTATGTAAAGTATTTTAGAGTGAAAATGATCACAAAACCATGAGCGGTATGCTGGAGAAGAAGTGGACATCGGTGCTGCGGCTGCAAAAGAAGGTCAGTGTTCTTTGAGTCGATGAAGTTTTTAACAGAGATAATCTAATGGAGTTGGAAAACAAGGCCTCTCAATGGAAGGATGCGCTCTTTTCTCCAGATGGACGGGAAAATCATAATTTGCCGCGCGCGCGGTACATGCGGGGTTGGGCGGTAACTCCAGTTTATCATATGTAGCAGCGGAACTCATGTGAAGTCAAGCGAGCGAAACTTCATGTCTAATGGTATAGATCATTCCTATCCCTTCAATATTCAACTCCAAACGGCCGGGCTGGACAACCGTTTCTCGCGCACGCGATGCCGGTCGCCGCATCTTGCGATTGTGTTGTCATATACCCTTTCTCACCGTTCCCAGCGATACTCCCAAATTTGGGTATTTTTGTTATGGATCTCACTACGGGTTCGTTGGGCCCATGGACGCGCTACAGCCCACTCTGCAGTTGGATATCGAACGTGTGATAGTATAGCGGCAGGACGCGCTTATTTCCCATTCTGATGCTCCTTTCCAGCACAAACCCCTGAGGATGCGCCTTTAGTCAGTCTACCTGCCCCTCTCTCTTCCCTCCCCCTCTACTACAGTGCGGTTTATTCGGAGTTACACTGGCTAACCTCTCTATGTTTCAGGTAAATGATCTCGAAGCAAAACTGGCTGAAGCAGAGAAAGAAATCAATCACGGTGCACCGTCAAGGTAAGTAGCATTTTAAAAATTTTCCCTGCTTTTGAATTGTCTCCGAACACTAGCCCTCAGATTGCTTAAGGTCGAGTAAGCTGTGTGTGATATCGCAAGTTTTTGGTTTTCTCCTGGTATTTACTTCATAATCTTGAACTCTGAAGCAGAACATTTCTATTGGTAAATTAAGCGCGTTCGGTAAGGGGAAGGGGCCAAGCTGCACTTTCGCTTCGTCTCATCGTCGGTTGATTGCTTTGCGAATCTGGCAGGTTTTTTTTACAAGAGCTGACAAGTTGTTCTTACAAGCTTTGACTGGTATGCCGTCCGGTGGCTCACAAGAATTTCACACACAACGCAGCACATCCTAACCTCAACGATTAGGCACGTCGGTGAGAAGCAGCGAAAGTGCAAAATGGCCCATCCCTAGCCGACTACGCCTGAGTAAATCACTTGGATTGTTCTGCTTTTTTCAAATAAAAGTGGCGAAATCTCAGCCTGGACTGTAGAGCTTTTCTAGTGGAACCCTATTTGTGGGGGTGTAGAGAGCACCTTCGCCCAAAATATTTTTGTGTGTTCTGCCTATGTGAATGATCATTGAATAATGAGTGTTCAAAGGGACTTAGTAGATTAAAATATACAAAGTATAAGCAAAAAAGCTGCGGATTTCTTGCTTGGGCGTAAGTTGCTATGGAATTCCAAAAAAATAAGTGTTTTAGCTGTTGACGGTTTCTGCCCTCGGTAAGGAGAGGGGGCGCTGGAGGGCGCAACGCCGCCTGTCCTTTCGATCAATCGTGGAGCGGGCAAAACGACAAAATTCGTGGAAAGTGGCGAAGCCAACCCTCCTTCCTCCTTCCTCTCCCTACCCTCGACCTCACCCATCTCGTGCACACTCGACTCTCATCCTCATCCTCATCCTGCATCCGCTCATTTCTGTCACGAGCCAGCGTCTGCTCCAAAAACTACTGTAAATGCTCTTATAGCTTTGCAAACAAGCAAAATAAATTGTTATTTCAATCTAAATTATCTGTCATGTTCAAGAGAGAAGCGGCAACCAGCTGAATGGATTCCGCGTCCACCAGAGCGATATGCCCTTACCGGACATCGGGCTCCAATTACTCGTGTAGTATTTCATCCTGTCTGGAGTGTGATGGCGAGCTGCAGTGAGGATTCCACGATTAAAGTGAGTTCTATTTTTTTTCTAATAACCAATTATTGGGGTTTATTCTAGTGCTTCATGACCTTGACTCCTCTCTATTCGCATCAGTTTGGAAGAGTGCATTGATTTCATTTTTTTACACTTTTTTTTGGCTGTTTTTTTCAACCATGTATGTTACGTTGTGCAAATAATTTCATTGCACTTTTTTGGATTGGTTTTCCATGAATAATCGCGTGTATACCAATCAGGGCCGTCCTGGAGAAGCTGGGGAAGAAACTTGCTCATTACGTCTCCTTCAAAGATTTCCTCGTATGTTACACCTCTCCTTCCTATAGCGCCAGTGAAACGGGAGAAACCAAGAAAACTTCTGAAAACGAATGAAAAGATTTTTTCAGAGGCAGTCATGACCCGCTCCCTGTACCGTCCTAATACGACCGTACCACTGGGGATCCCTAACGTATGACGTGCCTTCGTGCCATTTTTTTTATGAACTTTTGTTTTGCTTCATTGAATTTATATTATTCTTGTCTGAAATGAGATGAGTTGCTTTCAGGGGCGTTCAGAGCACGTCCTACCATGGGGGAAAGTTTTGCAGAATACGGCTCCCTTCTTGAAGTCTCCTGATATGCTACGACTCCCCCTCATTCTAATTTTTCACCTACCCATTCGCAGCATCCACCAACTTCTTGAATTTCCCCGAATTCCTACGAAGCAATTCCTAGATTCCTCCTCCTCCTCCTTCTTTCGGAGAAACCCCGAGTGGAGAGTGGTGGGAGGGAGAGGGTGTATGCACGTCAAACGGGTAAGCAGAGAAAACGTAGGGGGAAAGTCAACTGTGGTACGACGCAGTTCTATAGCAGCGACCAGGTACGATTTAGATCTCCAGCATATGACATACCCTGGTTGCGTTTCTTTCAACGCTCGGCGTTCAATGCAATTATGCGGAACCCGTCGGGAAATACCTGTATGGCAGTAAATTTTTTAGGGGATTTTTGGGGCATGTAGCGGCTGTTTTCATTTTTTACTTCCTGTGCTGAGTTGCTCAAGCTCTGGGCGCTGTTGAGGTGTAACTTCCACCTGAATGGCGCATCGCTACAATGGTATAGAAGGTAGACCTCCGAGATTCGTCGTATACATCACCTCACAAAGCACATAATTCTTAGACAGCTATGTGCTTGTCTTTATAGCTGTATTCAGCGGGGTTGTAAGACTTTTTTGTAGTTCCGATGACACATCGCCTTGCGATGACATCAATAAGTAATAGTTTTTCGAACAGCTGGCTATACATAGCCACCGCGACTAGTCTCTTACGAAACCCCGGGGTGAACTTGAGCACTGTGCGAGTTGTGGATGAAGTGTGTGAGAGACCGTCGCGATAAAATAGATATAATTATCTTCACAACGTAATATTTTGATTTATTTGGCGATTATATCGACAGGGGAGTGTGGGCGAAAGGGTACGTTATTGAGGCCTGTGTTCTTATTCACACGATTTTTAATCTGGAAATTCTTTTGTACTGTTTCTAATAATCCACTTGGTATTGTGAGACACAGGACTATATTGTCAGGGAACATACTGAATTTTTTAAATAGATACCTTCAGAAAAACAAGTGAATTCGAGCTAAAGATCTTCGGAGCATTCATACTTACTCTTACTTGTGATTCTAGATTTGGGACTATGAGACTGGTGAATTCGAGCGCTCGCTGAAAGGACACACGGATTCGGTACAGGACATTGCTTTCGACAAGACCGGAAAAATGCTTGGTATGTCTTTTGAAAAGTTTTTTTCCTTGTGTTGTTATATGATTCTGGGGTGTACAGAAAGAGTTTGAACGACTCAATAACATTTGATCCTAGTGGTGCGACTGGTTCTAGTTCGGTAGTGGAAGGCCCATTACCAGCAGTCGAGGGGGATGTGTTTATTTTTCCATTGTTTGTGTTGATGGTTGGTGTGGAAGTAACAAAAACGTCTTGTAAATGTCTTATTCACTGCATATTTGTACAGTTTTATTCTCGCTTCGGAAATCCTGATGGGCAGGCCACTCGCATCTGCCAAAAACGTCCTATAGATTTCTGTAAGGCACGGTGTTATGAGGATCGTTTTCAAAATGACAATCGTTTGACACTCACAAAGTGAGGGCGCGGAAAAAATGAAAACATATAACCTGGTTCGCTGCGGATGAAGGGGCGTGTCAGGTGGCTGCCGCGGCAGATCCATTCCGCCTAACACGCATTTTCGTCCGCAGCGATCCAGACTACATAAAATCAGATCGTATCAAGTAACTACAATACAATTTGAATCGTGACTCCTTCCCCTTTTGTCGAATAGGTGTGCCATTTCGAGGCGGTGCAAGGTGCTTGGCATGGGCTGAAGCTGAGAATAAGTCTTTCACCGTTCGCAACGCTGCTTTTGAGGTTCAGCATGCACTCTGTTCAGTTCAGAATTGTAGTGTCATCTTGAGTGCGATATGGCCTATGCAGTTACTTGGAAGGGGGTTGAGCCGATGTACAGGCCAGAGTTTGTCTTACCCAGACGAATCTGATACCAATTCATTGTTTCCGAGGGTTGAAGGCTTAGTTGGCCTGAGTGGTAGCCCGGTCCCTGGACCGCGCTTGGTGAGCGAGCCACTTGTCATCACACTACCTCCGTCTAATTTGGCCTATGATGTCAATTACGGTTTGTAAGTTTCAATGGATAATTTTTGATGAATTATTTGTTGAGGTAGTTTTTTCAGTGTCGTGCTCGGCTGATATGACGATCAAAGTGTGGGAGTTTGGCGGCTCATATGCCTGTGTCAAAACATTGAAGGGACACGATCACAACATCTCCTCTGTCTGCTTCTTGCCCTCCGGTGATGCAATTCTATCAGCAAGCAGAGATCACACCATCAAGTTGTGGGAGGTGAGTCTTCTATTACCACTTGTTTTTTTGCCCTGTGGCAAGGACATCGATTTATTGCCCTCCGCGATTTATTGCCCTCCACACGCAGATGAGGTGGGCGTGGCTGCGTACTTGATTTGGTGACGACTGCTGTGCATCTAATGGCCTACTTAGTTTCACAACAGTTGCCAGAAAAACATAGTATGACATTCGTTTTGAGAAGAATTTTTTCACGAAAAACTATTTTACGCCATGTTCAGATGAGGTACGCAGTCACGCCCTCTCTATCACTGAGATATGAAGTACAGATGCTATTGATTGCTAAAGGGCGATTGAGAAGCTCCCAAACTTTGGGTGAATATTGATTGGGCGTAGTAACTTCAGGGCAGGTTTAATGATGATAGATGTTGTGGGCTACTATAAATTTTTCGCTGTAAATGGGAAATTTTCGCATCGGAGAGTATATCACTGTATCGATTCTCTATTGTCACGTAATAATTTTGTGCATTCATCCCCTTTGTTGGTTTGAGGTATAACCGATCGATAAAGGAAAAATCATTTAAAGAACTACTGAGATGTATGGGCGTGTTGTCGGTTTAGAGGATAACGATGTCCATCGATTCTCATCGAGTCAAAAGTTCTGACGCTACCTCAGAAAGCACCACGTTCGGGAAGTTATGGCTTTCTGCCTTCGGAGGGAAGGGGGGAGTGGCGTAAACTAAATGTTATCTTTCAAAGGTTTATGGACGCTCTGAAATTGGGGAATTGGTTAAGCGTAGTTAGAACTGCTAGTGGTGGTGTGGTGGCGAAGCAATCTGTTCCGAGAAAGTGGAAGGAAGGTTGTAAAAGGAGGAGAGCAATTTGAGATGAATAATTTACCAATGGAGGTTCAAGGGAAGCAAATCATACGTTTTCCAGAGTAATTACTGCACCGTTTGTTGTTATTCCTTTTTCTATTAACTGGGCCATTGGTAGTATGTACGATGATTTTACTACCGAGTATAGGTACAGAGCTTGATGAGTAATGATCCAGACGAAGTTTTATAGAAAATTTTAGTTCCGTGCGTTCAATTTCATCACATTTCAGGTAGCTTCCGGTTATTGTGTGCATACATTCCGAGGACATTCTGAATGGGTACGAATGGTGCGCGTCTCACCAGATGGCGTACTTTTTGCGTCCGCGAGTAATGATCAGGTGAATGAGTATATTTCGCCGCTCTGTTCTCATTTCTGTTGGGGAACGTTGTGGAGGGGTAGTAACGACATTTGACATAGTTCGCCTTGAGAAGCATTTTGCTGACTCCCATCGATCACTAGTAGCAGGAGCTTACACTTGACAAGGGTCTACAGTTCTACGGTGCGACGTGTAAATTAACAGGAACTAGCCAAAGAAACTAGCGAAAAGCGCAGTACCCCTCCTAAGCCCAGTTCCGGATATTTTTCAGTCATAGGACTGGGTACGACAAGAATCATGTTGATTGTTGAATCATTAAAATTGTAGAGAGATGCTGAAATATTTGCGAGGCGAAAACCGTTTCGAATTAAATCCGAGGTTATTGTTGGAATTGGATAGCATGTGGTTTCGACGATATGTGCGATAATCTGAATGCTAATTACCTCCGTCTTCTCTGGAGTATAGAGCGAGACCGTTTATAAAGCGCACTTGCTCTCCAAAGCGTATTTTTTGCGTTCATGCCTACACGAAGGATCTACTTTAAAAAGTGATTTGAAAGCAGTCAGCAGATTGAAACACGTGAAAAGCTCCTGCTCCAATCAAAACTTTTTGCCCTCCCCACTCGGTGGCAGTTTTTGGGGAAAACAGCTTTTTAAAATTTTTTTTGAAACATTCGGGAAAGTGGCACGAAGTTGGAGAAATTGTAGGGAGAGGTAGACTGGATGGGGAGAAGTGGGGTTGCACCAAAGAAGGGAATTTGGCGAAAATTGTTCCCAGAGAGATAGTACCATGCCTACGATGCTACGATAGTTTATCAAGTTTTTGATTGTTTTCAGTCCGTAATGGTATGGTCGCTGCAGTCGAAAAGTGTAAAAGCAACTTTACGTGAACATGAGCATGTCGTTGAGTGTATT